AATCAGAAGCGCGGCGTCTCCAAAACCCGCGCGGAACCCGGATCGTAGCCACCGCGGGCACGGCTTGCTGTTCTTCCGACGCACCCTCCTTCCAGGTTATCAAAAACTGGCGTTGCGTGAATTTGGAAGGAGTTGATGCAGTTAATAAGTATGAGAAGACTTATTGTTGAGAAAATTAGGGCGAAGAAAAACAGTAATCGACACAAATCCAGAAGAACACAGAGATTTAACGAGGTTCGGCAAAGATGCCTACGTCCTCGGGAGCAGAGCGGCGAGTTCCTTTCAATAATCAGAAAAGAGTTTACAGAATTCAGAATGACATCCTGGGGTTACTAACAGGCCTATTTATAACCCCAGGAGTAAACCTAGGCACAATATGTAATTACAACATTACCCCTGTACCATACCGCGGGGCTTTGCCCCCGCACCCCAACCCACGTAACTTCCCAATTTGGACAGATTCTTCCGCTCCGCTCTGCTCCGCTTCAATCCAGCGTCTGTCCCGATATGGTATATGAGCCATATCATAACAACAACTTTAGAGGCTATTACATAATGTCTTCTTCGAACCATCTTTAGACTTTTTTAGCTAATCTCTATATTGTTAAATGTATTATTTTTTCTTCACAATATATTATTAGATAAAAATGACTAGTATAGACATGCGTCCGAGATATATTAATGATATTTAATGTATAACCAAACGCCCGGACAAAATTTAAGTTGAAAAGATAGACAACTCACTAAGCTAGCTAGATAGCTTGACTAAACAAATTTGTTCGATTGAATTAATCATGAAATTATGTCTGATAACTCAAACATGATAATTAACACACAAAAGTACAACTAGCCCATCTCGCTCCACAACCAAATTTGTGGAGCTATTCATGAGATCAACCCACCCAAGTGTATCAACTCGTCCCATGACGGAGTTGACCAACAAAAGCATCACCATGACCTAAGTATAAGGAAATACATTTTATAAGGAATAATTACAAGGCAAGACATTACCATAATAATATTAGTTATACCAACAATGTCAAAAGAGAATAACATAGGTAGAATATTGTAAAATAAAGGGAGAGGGAACTTCAAATATAAAACAACTCATTTTTATTTGATTTCTTCCATATTCTCTTAGCACAAAACTCTTCTTATTAAGTTATTTTTTTAGATGGTGTGATTTGAAAGCAGGATCTAAAAGTTGAGGTGTAAATTTAATTTTAATGTATATATATTATTTATTTATTTTGGGATAATTACATACATAACACCATAAATATTACTACATACAAAATTTAGTGCCCAAGTGATATTTTTGAACTATCGAACCGATGCATTTACGCGTGCCGCAATCAACTGTTGAGAATTTGATGAAAATGAAAAATAATGGTTGGGGTTTTATCATGAATTTTGATATTTGAGTGAAGAATTTGATAAATGGATGAAAGAGGGCGCTAGATTTGTAGGTAGTAACATGTCAGATGTTATGTATGTAATTGCCCCTTTTTAGCATCCATCATTCTCTCTAAAGGATGTTTTCCTTCACTGCCTTTAACTCTTCTCTTTTAGGCACATCGACACTGCCTTCTGAGGTCAAACACTTGACCTCCAACTTAAAATACAACTACTTCTCCGAGCTCTTCACCATGGCTCGTGCAGTTGTCTGTAATTTTCCCCCTCTATCTTATTGCCAATGGCTCTTCCCAATCTTCTCCTAAACCATCATAGTCCTCCTCACATATCTTTATCTACTTTTCACATACACTATAGAATAGAGCTGCGTTGGACCAAATTGTTGCTCGGGTTGACCATTGGAGAGGGCAGAGCTCGTTGTGGGAAGAGTCGTTGAGTATGCTTTTATTGAACTGTCTATCCCTGACAATTTAGCTCAATTAATCAAAGTGAAGGGAAGACTCGTTATTGGTGGTTAATTCGTGTATTGACTGAATATTGAAGGAAATATTTGGGACATGAAAGAGGGGATTTAGTTTGAGTTGACATGTAGGTGTAGGTAACAGACCTGGTCCAACATGGGTGATAGAAGGGGATTGTCCATTACCAATGGTGTTTTTTTCGTTATCTGTGGTGTGACTAACTTGGTTGACGGTGCTAATGCTTTTCGAATAAGTGGTAGTGGCTCCTGTGTTGAGGAGCCATTTGATGTAATTTTTTGCAGAATTGACCACTGGTGCAAACTTCAGTGAAGTGGGAGCTTTGTAGGACTGTTCCATCTTGTACCAACATTTGATTATCAAGTCACCTGGTTTGGAGCACATTTAACATATGAGAGTGCTACTGGATTTAGGGTTGTGATTGCTATAAGTATTGGTAGTGGCGGAGTTGGGTCTGCACCAAGAGTTGGAGAACCGACCAACATTGGGTGTAGAGGGTTTTTGAGTTTGGGACTTATTGGAATTCAATAGTTCTTTGTTGAATTCAACGACGATATTGTTTTGCTCGTTGCATGACAACAGGTATAAGTTATCAAGGCCTATGAGTTGAAAATTTGTTTTGATAGCCATACTAAATGTCTGATATGTAGAGAGGAGACCATTAAGGGTATACTGGATGACATCCTCTTTATTCAATAATGACCCAACAATGGCTATGACATCCACCTTGGCTTCAAAATTTGACAGATATTGTGTTATGTTTTATCTTTCATGGCGATGTTGTGGAGATTGTTCTTAAGCTGAGTTTTTCGAGATTGGTTGGTGGATTGAAGTCAGTGTCCCAAAGTGAGCCAAAGTTCTCTGCAATTATCAATATCCAGGATGTATGACAGTAACATCAGAGAGATAATGGATTGTAAGGCCACAACCAAGTTTTGATTTACAAGAAGTCATAGTGAATTGTTTGGATTTGGTTGGGTGGACCGGAATGAATACCGTGAGAGGGGGGCAAGCTATAGATCCATCAAGATACCCATTGAACACGTTGGCTTTGAAGAGTTTGAGAACTTGAGATCTCCATGTCAAGTGATGTTTGATGGTGAGCTCGATATTGATTGCCGCCTTGATATCATTCATGGAACCTTAGTTAGGGTGAGATTGAAATACCTCCCTATTTAATTAGATTGCCATCGGGATCCGAAGAGAACAAATTTGTGGAGTTTTCTCATGTCTTGCGAATCAAAATAAAAGGGTTATGTTGGGAAATCACTATGATACCAAGAAGCTAAAGGATGATCAAATAGTTTTTAGTTCACACGATCCACGAGACAAAGAAACAATGGGTAAGAAAAAGAAAATTCATGAGAGTAATTAGAGCGAGAATAGAATTCTTACGAACTTTATTATTGTAACACAACCAATATTTACATGAATATAGGGACATGTATATAAAGGAATGCAGAGACAAGAACATTAAAACAAATGACTAAGATTATGACAATTGGAGTAGACATTCTTGACATCCTTTTATTGTACCAAATGTGTGAATATTTTAATACTCTCACTTCTATCAAGGTTCTCCATCATGCTCACACAATAGGTTTGCAAATTAAGAAGTTTAGCAATGAGAATATTTTTCTAATGCACGAAAAAATGACGATAAGCCACCAAAGAGTCACCTAAAATGAGAGTTGTGGGTCTTAAATCGTAAGAAGTTTTGGGATGACAGGAGCGAAGAAGATAAAATTCATAACTGGATGCATTAGAGTTTAGTGAACCAGTATTGTTTGTAGTTGTACATTTTTGTAGAGTAAAATGTTCCGTAACATTGTATGAAAGTGTAGCTTTACGAAGGTTTGAAGATTGTAGACAATGTCATGGAATTATCTTAATGTGATGAGATGGATGGAAAGGAGGTTGGGGACTGATGGGAGGGGACATATGATTAACATCCTAATTGAGAGAGTAGGGAGAGGAAAGGGAGAACACACCGAAGCAGGGAGGGAGGGCTGGAGGAGAAATAGAAAAATGGAATGGGGTAAATGTGTGTATGTTTGTGGGAGATCTTTGTAAAGCTTGTCATCTACATGGTTTTATAAATCTATCATATTTACCTTATTATGATGCCGAAATTTAAAAGCCATTACAGTGTGTTTTTTCTGACCATTGTTAGATTTTTCAGCTAATATCGAAATTATAAAAATCTACCATCTATTTTTTACAAGAGATTATTTGATGAAAATGACGCACATAGATATGTGTCTTACACCAATTAATGATATGTAATGTATAGCCAAAAGCTCCTGGGTAGACAACTCGCTAATCCTGCTAAATAGTTTAGTTAAACTATTCTGATTGATTGACTCGATCAAGAAGATATGCATACAACTCACACATGATGAACAAATAAGTGTACAATTAAACCGAAACGGCTTGATAATTCGTTAGGGAAGCCCAACTCGCTTCCCAACCAAGTTGTTAAAACTTTCAATGAGGTCAACCCACCTAAGAAGATCAACATGCCCCATGATGGAGTTGATCGAAAAAAGCATTACCATAACTATAAGGAAATACATTCTTTTTCAATTTATTTTAATGGCGTGAATTTATGGATAAATCATGATGTAATAATTGAGATGTAATCTAATTTTAAAGTTATATCTATATATTTTTCTAGGTTAAAATTAGATATATATCACCCGAAACTTGCTACTTACAAATTAGCCACCCACTTTCATTAATTTTTCAAATTTTTCCTCAAATATCAAAATTCATCATAAAATCCTGACCCATATTTTTAATTTTATCAAATTACCAATAGCTTAATCGTGACTCACATAAATACATTCGTTCATTAGTTAAAAAAAAAAAAGTTTAAAATCTATAAATATCAAAACTTTCGGATGGTTTTTATGTAATTATTCCTTTTTTTGAATGATGAACTAAATTTATATTTATATCAATTTAGTCTGGATAATTCCCTCCAAATCAATTTTCCCTCCACCACCTCAACCGTTCCGATCTCTTCACCACGGCGGGTGTAGCCGCCCACCATTGCCCCCCTCTATCTTGTCGTAGATTCTTCTTCTCAATCTTCTCCTAAGCTGTCGCAGTTCTCCTTACGGCCCTCTCTCCCCCTTCGGTTTCCAGCTCAACCTGCCATTTGTGACCAATTTCCGCTCCCTCATGTACTCGGCTCCACAAAAGTCCCAAGACGCAACCTCGACTCTCGCGCGCAAGCAGTATCGCCATTACTATGGCGCGAAGGTGGAGCCGAGCAGAGGAGGATCGCATTGCCTCTCTAGTGGATCTATACGCTGGAACCACCCGGCAGCTCAAGCAGATTCACTCCCACGTCGTAGCCAACGGCCAGTCTCAAAACAACTTCATTGCTGCAAAGCTCGTGAGAACATTTGCAGATCTGGGAAGCCTTGAACATGCTCGTGCTATAGCCGATGACCTAACTAGTCCCAATACATTTGTTTGGACTGCTTTGATCAGAGGCTATTCTCTTCATCCTTGGCTCGATAACTCCAGCAACCATGAAGCAATTTCGCTCTACGAACGGCTGCACCAGTTTTACCCTGCGGTAAAACCTCTCTCGTTCACAATATCATCAGTCCTCAAGGCGTGTGCTCAGATGCGGGCTCTCGGTGAAGGAGGACAAATTCATACTCATGCTTTCAAGCATGGATTCCAGCTAGATTCCCATGTTCAGACCACGCTCATTGATTTCTATGGAAAATGCGGCTATTCTAGAGATGCACGTAAAGTATTCGATGAAATGTATACAACGGAACCCGACGTCCAGGCATGGAATACAATGGTCGTCGCATATGCGGAGGCAGGGGACATGGAAGCTGCACGTAAACTGTTTGACAAAATGCCTGAGACGAATGCACATACATACATTGCAATGATCAATGGCTATGCCATGGCAGGCAAGATGGACCTCGCTCGTCAGCTGCTCGACGACAAATCCTCATCGAATGAGAAGAACTCAGTCGTCTTCACCGCCTTGATAGCCGGATATGCGAAGTCCGGCGATTTATTAGCTGCTCGACAAATATTCGAGGAACTCATCGACAGGGACGTGGCTTCATGGAATGCAATGATCACTGCTTACATTCATGCCGGGCTTATCGAAGAAGCAGTAGCCCTTTTCCACCTGATGCTCGATAATGGCAGTCGGTGTAATCCTCAGCCCAACCACACTACTATAGCCACCATCGCTTCCGCCTTCGCTCAATCCGGTTCGCCCAGCCAAGCGAACTTTTTCCAAGCCTATGTCGACCGCCGTGGGGCTGAGCTGCTCAACAGCCACACCATCGCCGCCTTAATCGACCTTCACTCAAAGTGCGGCGATCTAGACAAAGCTTACGATCTCTTCCGCAGATGGGGGCGAAAGGACTTGGTTTGCTACAGCGCAATGATCGCAGGGTTCGGGATTCATGGATGCGGCCAGAAAGCGATCAAGCTGTTCGAAGAGGTTCAGGAAGCTAACTTGAAGGTAGATGCAATATGCTTTGTGTCGCTTCTTGCAGCGTGCAGCCATTCCGGCATGGTGAAGGAGGGAAAAAGGTATTTTGAGCTCATGAGAACTAAGTACTGTATCACTCCAATGGCTGAACATTATATGTGTATTGTCGACTTGCTTGGGCGGGCTGGGCAGGTGGAAGAAGCTTATAGTTTGATCCATGGAGGAATGCTAATAGGAGTGGAGCCTAATGCTGGGGTATGGGGAGCTCTGTTGAGTGCTTGTAGGAGTTATTCTAATGTGGAGATTGGGGAGATAGCTGCAAGATGTTTGATGGAGATTGAGCCAGAAAATGCAGGGAATTATGTGCTGTTATCGAATATATATGCGAAGGTTGGGAGATGGGGCGAGGTTGCGAGTGTGAGGGCAGTGATGAGGAGGAGAGGGATGAGGAAGGAGCCTGGTTGGAGCTTGGTGGAGACGGAGGGAGGTAGAGGAAGGAAGTTCATGATGGGGGAAGCTTATGATTTGGCATTAGAGTTGGTATTGTTTGTTTTGAGTTGGCAGTTGAAGGAATATGGCTACCTTCTTAACATGGAGGAAATAGAAGAGTAAGGACAGAGTTCATGTGTGGGGAGTGGACAAAGAAATTTCAAGCTCAAGAAAAGGTATGAATTATTTAATTTTTGATAAATGGTGCATTTACATACATACCACATAAGTCTTATGCATATATCTGTATACCGCTCAAATCTTTAACATCACATAAAAGATACCACAAGGAGTATCTTTGTACATGTGAAATACACCTTTTCATACTTATGTTTATGACAAGTGTGTATAAGTGTAAATATCAAATTTTGGGTATTAGATATGTAAATAAACAAGGATTGTGATGTATGCATGTAAAATTCCCTTGATAAATTTGTTTGCATTGAGGAACTAGAAGTTATAAGAAGCTCAAAGGGTTTAAAGATTACTTTAGGTGTTAGATATTTTTCTTATATGATATTTATTTTTATAAAAATTAGTTTGTCTTAGTTATTGTGCATTCATCCAATTTAAACCTGACATAGAAATTCCTCTAGAAACTTTCTTTCCCTCTGTCGAAAGTTGGCCAATGGGTTTTTCTTGCACTAAACTAGGCCTGACTCACCCTCTATCTTGTTCCCAATAACCTCTCCCTCTTCCATCAACTTCCCCTCTCTTCTCTCTTTTCATAAGTGCCATAAAGAAGTAAGAAATAAATTGCTAATAACCATAATGCAAAGAAAGAACGCCAAGCCAAAGCAATAAGAAGAAGGTGACAAGAAGAACTAATTATCGGAAGATAGCTCGGAAGAGAAGAAATGATCAAGGAGCTTCATCAAAAGAATCGTTTAAGATTTTTGACAATTAAAAGATTTATTAGATTCTAATTATTAATTATTTTCTATCATTTATCTCTTCATAGTGCATCAACTTGATTCTTCATACTAAATCTCTCACTTTTTTCTAGACTTTGTTGTTGTACCATTACGAATTCCGAGGATTTCAAACGGTTCAGAAGAAAGAAAGTACAACAAAGAAGGGTCCGTCGACGGGAGACCATGATCCTCACTTATCCAATTGGATGCAACCATTTGAGCTAAAGACAAATGTCATCCTAGCCAAGAGAAGGACAAAAATAACGATTCAAACTCGGGCAAATTGAACTTGAATAGACATATCAACACCCAAAGTAATCATCATAAGAAATCCGGGCGAAGGTATCAACCTACCTCTCCACAGATCTAACTCAAGGAAAGAATTTAGTTCCTCGCCATTACCAGCCGTTCTGTGGATACCCCTGAGATTCCTCATCAGGGATCAAGAATTGATAACATAACAGTCTCAAAATCATCCAAAGAACCTCCATCGTCAAAGAATGAGCTATCAATCGAGTTACGGTGATCCACCATCTGTTCTATGGCCTAGTCTCGTTCTGTTGACAGGAAGTCCTCATCTAATGATCAAGGGTTGAAAATTAGATTAGAGCAATAGATCAATAAAGCCCAATCGATCGAGCCAGTCCTGCCGACTGGAAGCAATTCAAATCTAGCTGATCGACTGTGCCAACTCAATCAAGCCAATTGAACCAACATTATCGAGTCAAAGTCATGATTGCCCGATCGACCCAACCATTGGACAGGCGATCAATATACATGCATATGTAAAATACCAAAAATATCATGCAACGACCCCATTAAAGAAGAGATAAAAATGTCATATCATATATTGTACTCCCGTATCTATAAATCGGAAGATAATTTTATAAGATTAGACTAATAGACAAAATATTTTATTTTTCATTTCTCTTTCTGTCTCTCTATCGCTGTCATTTTTACTCTCTAACCCTTTGGATGTGATTCACATATGAACTGGGATTCAACATATTAGAAAAAACTTAATCTGTTTTTCTTCTAAACTTCACCGTAATTCATACTATATTAGGACTAAATGGTGTTTTATAAATCAAGCTAGATGCATAATTCTGATCCCTAGAATATAATTTATGCTCTATAATAAGCCAAAAGAATCTTCTGGAATGAGGTAAAATTTTTGAGATCATTATCTGAAGATGATAGCCAATTGCCTCCAAACCTTCAAATTTGAAGTACGTAAAATAAATTTAATTAGAAAAATCAAATAAACAGTCATGAATCTTTTCAAAATTTTTTTCTTTATGTAGTAATTGCTATGAAAAATGCCCTAAGAATTATGTATTAGTTATATAATATTATATTGTTGGATTTTAATTTATCCGTTAGAAACATCTCCTAATCATAATATTTAGGAGATAGAGAAAAGAGGAATGTTGGATAGCCAGAGAATTAAGAGAATAGGAGTAAACTAGTATTTTAAGTCTCTCTCATGTCTTATCCTTCATCCTTATTCGGAACCATTGACCACACTTTATAGCTATGATCATATGAGGTTGCCATATGCACAGAAATGTGAATACATAAATGCTGGTGGTGCTCTTTGAGTTTACAGGTGTATCTTTTTACATGTTAAAATATAAATAAATAAAAATATGACTGAGAAATATTATGTCTTCATTCGTAGTTTTAATTAAAATTTTACTGTATTGCCGTGTTTTATAAGCCCACGAAATTATGAATTTTTATTTAAGTTTTAAGATTAATTTGCAGCCCCTCTGCAAATCGCCGGAGCTTGTCCCTTGCTGAAATCGGAAAACCCAACGAACTTGGAAATCTCTAAAGTTGAAAGAAGCGGGGTGTGAGGTAACGAGCAAGGCATCTTTAAATCGAATTCCTGAGAGCAGCGGAGGTAAGAGCTTGAAAACTCACGAAGCTATATCTTTCTCGTCGCTTCTTTGCTTGCTTCGTTCCTATATTTTCTCGCAAGTTTAATCTCTAAATCCTTTTGATTTGGAGATAGAGTGAATCAATGCCTTCCACCTGTTTGTTTAACTGCCGCAGTTTCAGTATTCTGTTATTTCATTAAAGAGCACTGGTTTTTGTTGAGCAAACCATATTGCACTGTTTTGGCAGTTAATTTGTCTATTGGAAGAATTGTTTCATATGTAAAGCCAATAAAAAAAGGGGCTATTTTATTTTGTTTCTTTTTCAGAGCTTAAAGTGGGAGCTCAAGGCGTCGCTGAAGGAAATGGCAAGGATCTCAATTTAAACTTTGAATCTTAATTCCTTTCTCCCGCTTTAATTTTTTTCATGTTTTACCAGTTTAAGCTCCTAAAAATATAATTTTAACTGATTTTTTTTCCGTCTTTTAGTGCATGATAAAATTAGTAATTTTCAATTTGATCCCGATGTATTGTGTATGGTTAAAGAGTAAGATGAATGCAATATGGCCGAGATATGTTTTTAGTAACATGTTTTCTGAGGGACTTAAAATAAAAAGAACTCTTCACTGAGTAGGGCAGTAACATTTCTTCCTCTTTCATAAGCTATCTCTACCACTCCTCTAAAAACTTTAGCTGAGGAATTGTGACAGTACAACATAGGTACCACTCTAAGTAAATCTTAGAAAACTTACTTCATAATTCCATACTTTAGGGCTTAAGTTGAATTTCATGTCGATATATGCATCCTACAATTTTTTAATCCCAACACCATTGATGTATGTGTGTTGGAGGTTTTGACCACACCAGTCCAAGCAAGATGATGAACTTGGAATTTGGAGTAAAGATGAAATTTGGAAGCATCTTTTGAGCCTAAGATGATTTAGTAATGCATTTCTAGTTATTCACAAATATATTTTTTATAGTCAACCCCTTTCTCACATAAATGAAGCCATGTGATTGTTGTGCTATATTTTTAGTTTTTCCAAACCGTCTATTATATATTTTTTTAAGTAATGCTGTGAAAATTACTAACCATTTGAAACCTATTTAATTATTTTTTGTGCGTGCCTGCTCATCCATTTGATTAATTTCATTTGGGATAAGACTGATAACGATAATGATGATGGTGATAATTTGATTGATCTCTTTCTAGACTAAAAAGGGTTGATGAGTTTTTTTTTTAATAAAATGTTGTTTTTTTCTTGAAATAAGAAAAATATATATCATGAACACCTGGTATCTATAACGTTGTTTAGTTGGATAATTGTCCTAAGCTTTTGTAGGATGGAGAGGGACGCTCAGGACTTCTGAAAGTAGCCCCAAATGTGCGTAATGCGCTTAAACGTGGCAATGCAGTTGTCGCATTGGAATCAACAATAATTTCACATGGTAAGAATTTTTGGATACGATTAACCATATTTAGATACACAAAATGGTTTTTTTAATAGAAAATTCAAAATAAAAAGTATTTTATTTTTTTTAATCACATGCAATTGTATATATTTTTATTATTTCCCAAAAATTAGCTATAAAATTTGCATGCCATATCCTCTGAAATTAAGTAGCCATTTGGGAGCACTATTATTATTTTATTATTTTTTTGTTTATGCTTTGATATGAAATAATATATATGGTGATAGTAATTATTTTTATAAACACTCAAAATATCTAAAAATTATTTTAAGAATTTTGAAGTAAATTGATTTATTTTTAAAGATAAAAGTAAAATTTATGAATACTCTTAACATATTTTAAAAAACAGATGCAAAAAAAAAAAAAGAAAAAAAAACATAGAACTATGCAAAAAACCTAAAGTAGTTATAATTTCTCAATTCTTAACTTTTTAGTATTATATATATATATATATATATATATATATATATAATATTCAGGCATGCCATATCCGCAAAATCTTGAGACTGCTAAAGAAGTTGAGGCTATTGTGAGGCAAAATGGGGCTATTCCTGCTACCATTGCAATACTTGATGGTGTTCCGTGTATTGGTATGTTTATAGCCTATAGTGGCACATGTTTGCTCATTGATATTATGAAGAATAAGCATTTTTTTAAACAAAAAATAATAGTTATTCTTGTCTGGTTGATTCGAGTTTGATTTGATATCGGATGCTTTGTTGTTATATTTAATTGATATTGGGGTAAAGATGCTCAATGTATCGTTCTTAAATTTGAAGTTATAAATGTTTAGAAGTATACCATTCTTTGATGAAATATTAATGCACTAAAATCATTTCATATCTATATTATGTATTCTTATCATGTTTATGCACTTCAAGGAATGTTTAGTGATGCATGAAGTCTTAGGGTCCATAACTTTCTTATTCATATCTATAATGAGATTTGCAAAATTATGCACGCTTGTTAATTTCATTGTTCACAAACCATTAAGTTATAGAAATATTCATTTTCTTATATGTAAAAATGAAGATAAAAAAAATTGCCACGTATGATAATTTAATAATTATTTTTGAGAAATATGTCATAGAAATTCAGAATCAATTAAAACAATTACTCAATTGAAAAATTGCTTGAAATTGAGATTAATATTGTACCAAATTTGATTAGACTAAGTTATGTAATCAAATCAATTACTAGAAATTAAAAAATACATGTAAGTAAGATATGAGATCATCAAATGAAAGAGCCATGCCTCACCATTGCACAAGCATTTTATTTCCTCAGAATTTTAGAAGGCTTAGAAAGATTCTCATCCAATAAGAGAATTGCTGAATCAAAATAGAAATATTTTTTACATCCTCTAAACCCCCTCATGTAATGTTTAGATTTCCCATTCTTACATTTAAGATTCTCTTAAAGTAAAGTTGTTTGGACAATTACTTGAAATCATGATCATACCATTCATAGATAGTCACAACTCATAGAGTTATAATTTATGTCAACCAAGAATTTTGGTGATAAAAAAGGAGGCATTTAATTTAATTACAACATCGAAGTAAAGCACAATATTCTAAGATCATTAATTCAAAGAAGAAAATGAAATCTACTCGCCACTCTTCTTTTGAAATAACAAAATATGCATTTTATTCATCAAAGCAATTGAAAAAATAAGAGTTCAGGAATGAAAAATCAGTTGGAAAATAATATAGAAATGCTACATCAGACTTCCTTTATCTTCCAAGTGTTTTGTTGAATTACACGAGCAAATTACACACAAATTTCTCACACACTGCTCTCAAAAAAATCTTTCCACACTCATACAAGTATAGAAACTCTCTTTCTCACATGGGGGATCCCAATTGCTTCGTCATCTTTGAATTGATCCTTCCTGGCTCAAAACGAGACAAATTGAACTGTCAAAACCATCAATCCACGTGACTGGACGCTTAGGCACTGCACGTGGTGCTTGGGCGTTGAACTCTGGCGCCTTGGCGCCCATAACCTATAGCTAGAAACCTGGTTCTTTGGTTTTAGGCTTCCGAGATTGGCGCCTTGGTACCAGTTCAGCCTATAGACACTCCAATTTAGCTTATTTGCTCCTCAAGTTGCCTAATAACCTGTACACTGCATATATAACCACAAATATCATAAAAAAAACAGAAAAAAGACAAATAATATAAAAATAACATAGAAAGATTATGCACATTTGATACATGTTAGCCTTCCCCATTCCAACCTCATCTCTCACTCAACCTTAGCCACCTCACCGCAGCCTTCCCACCACCTTCGACCCCATCACTATTTGGTGTTTGTGTTGCGCGTCTTTTTGTAATTTCCCATTTTGGTGTGCGTTTGTTGTAATCCTCTATTTATTTTTTCAATAATAAAAGTTATATTTCCTTTATTGTTTGGTTAACTCTGATATCATAAACATCAAGTTTTACATACTTACCACCTTACACATGAAAAAGTTGTATTTTTCTTTTTAAAAGTTATGGTAATGGTCCTTTTGATGTAATATGAAAGATTTGGGTGGTTTAAATGTACAAATCAAAGTTTAGTTGTTACCAATGTAAATACATAAGAATTGGGTGGTGTGTTTGTAAATGCCCCTTTATTATTACGTTAATATAAGCCATGCAATAAGAGTTTGTACCTAAATTTTTGTTTGAATCTTTAAAAGGCCTGAACGACGAGCAACTAGAAAGGCTCGCGAAACTTGGATCCAGAGCTCGAAAAACTGCTCGTAGAGATATTCCTTATGTCGTGAGTAGTACTTAAAGACCACCTTTCTTTAATAATGTTCTTTTCTGATAAATGTAATGTGATCATATGTTATGCAAGTTTTATAGATATTGCAACCTAAACCTTTTCAGGTTGTTTCTTCCAGAGCCTGATAAAATCTTTTTTGTTTTACTTTCCTGCTAATATAGAATGAGCATAAAACTTTGGAAGATTTATATGTGTACCACTTAATTCTTATGCATTTATATATCTAACAACTAAAATTCAATTTCTACATATATGTCACCTTACCTATGCATGAGAAGGTGTATTTCACTTTTTAAAAGTTATGATAGTGCTATTTTTGTTGTGATGAAGATTTGAGTGGTAATATAAACAGTAAAGTTTTGGTGTTAGATATGTAAATATGTAGGAATTTGGTGTTATGTATTGTAATGGCCTAAAATGTTTTGGTGTTGCCTAAAGTCACACTTTCACCATTTGCTCTTGTTTATGTGTTAGTTTTTTCACTTTCTGCATGCATCCATCAATGGATTTGTAGCGGAAAGTGAGGTTTGAGGAACTGAATTTTTTACATCTATCATATTGATTCTGCAGATTTCAGCTCGTGAAAATGGTGCAACAACTGTTTCAGCCACAATGTTTTTTGCTTCTAAGGTATGTCTTCTTCTTCTTGTTCAAAATTTTTATTTCAAAACTTCATGATCATCATGAAGCTTTATTCTGACATTTAATTGCTGAGTGAAGTGTTAAAATAGTCCCCTGACTATTTACATGGGGTTATTTTAGTGTCAGAGTCTATAAAAGTGCTAAATTAGTTCTTAGACCTTTTTAGTATGGGCTGAAATAGTCATTAAGGAGGACTATTTTAGTCCCTTCCCCCTTCTCTTAAAAGAGTTTGGGGACTAACTTGATACTTTTATAGACTCCGGAGCTAAAATGAACTCCTATAAAAAATGAACATTTTGACATTCTTGTCTTTAATCTCTCAGTATAATATTTGACTGTACAAGTGCATTCTTGTCACACATTATGTAGAATAACACTAAAGGCCTAAATTATCATTTATTAAACTAATAATCAGTAATATTAGAGTTTTCAATTAATTTACAATACTATGGATAATTTGAAACTTTATTGTGTTGTCAAGAATGAATTTATTTAGAGTATGTTACTGGCTAAAAATTATCAGTTATTATTTTATTTATTTATTCAGAATATATTTTGAGTGAAGAGCCAAAATAGTCCCCTAACTGTTTACCTGGGATCATTTTTGTCCCGGTCTATAAAAGTTCCAGTTCAATTCTCAGATTCTCTTAATATATTTCAGCCCTAATTTAAAGAGTTTCGAGATTAATTTGACACTTTTATAAATTGTGGGATTAAAATGGCCCCCATGTAAACTATCAAGAGACTATTTTGCCATTTAATGTTTTTTATAGAAAATAATTTTAAAAAATGGGGTTAGGAATTGAACCGTTGGTTGGTTCAATTGAGCAAAACCCAAAGCTGGACGGTTTCATACTTTCAAGGAGAGTGAGCCATTGAGGAGTGTAAGAGGCGAGCGACAATTTGGCCTCGTGCTCAAGCATGTGTGAGGGTTGTCTCCACATAGTGCACAACCATATTTTGCTCACGTACATCAATGCTTCCTTGGAATTTTCAATTGCATTTGAAGATGACCGAGAAAGCATTGACGTAGAGCTTGGGCTGGAGGAAGCATTATGACTTGTGCACTCATGGTTTCAATTAAGGGGTATTTGCATACGTACCACACAATTTTTATATATTTACATATCTAACACCTAAATTTTTATATTCACATGCATATCACTCAAATATTTAATAGCACGTAAAAAAATACCACTATTATTAATTTTTTAAAAGTGAATACACCTTTTCATGTATAGGTTTATAATACCATAGTTTTAGAAATTTAAATACCAAGCTTTAGATGTTTGATTTGTAAATACATAAGAATTGCGTGGTATGGATATAAATTTCCTTTAAATTAATTACAAATCTGTGTAGAATCAGCAGTGAGGAAAAGTTGCTGGAGGCTAACTTTTCTTATTGCAGCTTTTGATCACGCTGCATTGAGCCATTGTGAAGATGTTGAATGTGAACTGTGAAAATTAACAGGAATATGTGATGCCAATAGCAAAATTTTATGCTTAGCTCTGTTTTCTTGTCTCCCCCCAAATATTTGTTCTTATTCATGCTTTAAAAGAATATTTCAATAACTGCAGGCCGGCATACCACTTTTTGTCACTGGAGGCATTGGTGGAGTGCACAGGCATGGTGAACAAAGTAGGTTGCCTGAAATTTAAATTCTTGGGGCATTTACATGCATACCACCCAATTCTTATGTATTTACATATTTAACACCTAAACTTTACTTTTAAAATTTATATTATTCAAATTTAAAATCACGTAAAAATACTTTATTTTAAACTTTTAAAAAGTGAATACACCTTCATGCATAGGTAAAGTGACATGAAAAAATTGAAGCGTGTTAGATATGTAAATACATAAGAATTTAGTTGTATGTATTTAAATCTTTTTAAATTTCTCATATCTTAGATTTCCTGCAACATGAAGATGGTTGGTGCCTTTTTTTCTAAAATACGAGATGTTGCTTTTTCTTTTTTGAAGGTGTAAAGATAGAATTGTTCTTCTTTTGTACATTCATATTGTAGCGGTGGTGAATCAGCAGAAGATTTACACTGCTATTTTGAGGATCAAAATTTTTTTAGAAGTCATTGTTCATAGAAAATTTTGTTGGTTGAAGTTGTATCATTTTGTTTTTTTTTGAAACATTTACATACGTGTTGATCTCATTTTTAGTGAGGTCTTAGTCTTCTACTCTTAGAACCTAGGATCTAGCTTTAGGAGTTCTTATTGACCATCCTAGCGGACTAGCAATGGAGCCCACCTCCCGTAGAACTTCAAGCCACTTCTTGACTCATTTTTGTGAAGAACTCGCATAAGTGGTTCCAAGCACTCAACTTCTAGTTGTAAGGGCTAAGGACCAACA